CTTGTAGCAGAGTTCTGGTTCTGGTGAGGAGACATGGTTCTCGTAGCAGAGATCTGGTTCTGGTGAGGAGACATGGTCCTTGTAGCAGAGTTCTGGTTCTGGTGAGGAGACATGGTCCTGGTAGCAGAGTTCTGGTTCTGGAGGGGAGACATGGTTCTGGTAGCAGATTTCTGGTTCTGGAGGGGAAACATGGTCCTTGTAGCAGAGTTCTGGTTCTGGTGAGGAGACATGGTTCTGGTAGCAGAGTTCTGGTTCTAGTGAGGAGACATGGTTCTGGTAGCCGAGTTCTGGTGAGGAGACATGGTCCTCGTAGCAGAGTTCTGGTGAGGAGACATGGTTCTGGTAGCAGAGTTCTGGTTCTGGTGAGGAGACATGGTTCTCGTAGCAGAGATCTGGTTCTGGTGAGGAGACATGGTCCTTGTAGCAGAGTTCTGGTTCTGGTGAGGAGACATGGTCCTGGTAGCAGAGTTCTGGTTCTGGAGGGGAGACATGGTCATTGTAGCAGAGTTCTGGTTCTGGAGGGGAGACATGGTTCTGGTAGCAGAGATCTGATTCTGGTGAGGAGACATGGTCCTTGTAGCAGAGTTCTGGTGAGGAGACATGGTTCTGTTAGCAGAGTTCTGGTTCTAGTGAGGAGACATGGTTCTGGTAGCCGAGTTCTGGTTCTGGTGAGGAGACATGGTCCTTGTAGCAGAGTTCTGGTGAGGAGACATGGTTCTGTTAGCAGAGTTCTGGTTCTGGTGAGGAGACATGGTTCTGGTAGCAGAGTTCTGGTTCTGATGAGGAGACATGGTCCTTGTAGCAGAGTTCTGGTTCTGGTGAGGAGACATGGTCCTTGTAGCAGAGTTCTGGTTTTGGTAGCAGAGTTCTGGTTCTGGTGAGGAGACATGGTTCTGGTGAGGAGACATGGTTCTGGTAGCAGAGTTCTGGTTCTGGTGAGGAGACATGGTTCTGGTAGCAGAGTTCTGGTTCTGGTGAGGAGAAATTGTTCTGAAGATGATCCATGGTTTTGGTAGAACTCAGCTCCTCAAGTCCGGAGATGTCATTCTGGTCCTGTAGAGCGGATGGTTCCAGTTATCATTTTCTGGCTCTGATGAGGGTTGTAGTGCGGGATGAGGTCCGTTCACACTTTGTGGTTTCGGTGTCAGTACACTGGGAAGAGTCCGATGAATTGATGATTTTATAAGGCGCCCCCATCCCCCGGCCGAGTCTTCTGTCCTCAGGATGATTGGTGGCCTCTCATGTCGGAGAAATTCGGCAGGTTCTCTGTTTTGTAGAAGGACGTTGCTCCAGTTTCCTCAGGGACTGATTGTTGTCACCATGCATAGACCTGCGTCCTTCACCATGCATAGACCTGCGTCCTTCACCATACAGAGACCTGCGTCCTTCACCATACAGAGACCTGCGTCCCTCACCATGCATAGACCTGCGTCCATCACCATACAGAGACCTGTGTCCTTCACCATACAGAGACCTGCGTCCCTCACCATGCAGAGACCTGCGTCCTTCACCATGCATAGAACTGCGTCCTTCACCATACAGAGACCTGCGTCCTTCACCATACAGAGACCTGCGTCCCTCACCATGCATAGACCTGCGTCCATCACCATACAGAGACCTGTGTCCTTCACCATACAGAGACCTGCGTCCCTCACCATGCAGAGACCTGCGTCCTTCACCATGCAGAGACCTGCATCCTTCACCATGCGTAGACCTGCGTCCTTCACCATACAGAGACCTGCGTCCCTCACCATGCAGAGACCTGCGTCCCTCACCATGCAGAGACCTGCGTCCCTCACCATGCAGAGATCTGCGTCCCTCACCATGCAGAGACCTGCGTCCCTCACCTTGCAGAGACCTGCGTCCCTCACCGTGCAGAGACCTGCGTCCTTCACCTCTAATCTTCTTTTATACATTGAGGAATTATGGTTTTGGTGATTAGTTACTTTGATATAGTTTCCGGTGGATTATTTGGTATTAGGTAGGGTTGGGGTTAGGGGTTGAGGTTTAGGGTTAGGGTTGAGGTTTAGGGTTAGGGGTTAGGGTTGGGGTTAGGGGTTGAGGTTTAGGGTTAGGGGTTATGGTTAGGGTTAGGGGTTGACGTTTAGGGTTAGGGTTGGGGTTAGGGTTGGGGTTGGGGTTAGGGGTTGAGGTTTAGGGTTAGGGGTTATGGTTAGGGCTAGGGTTGGGGTTAGGGTTGGGGTTAGGGATTGAGGTTTAGGGGTTAGGGTTGGGGTTAGGGTTGGGGTTAGGGGTTGAGGTTTAGGGTTGGGGTTAGGGTTGAGGTTTAGGGTTAGGGGTTGGGGTTGAGGTTCAGGTTTTGGTTGTTGGGGTTCAGGTTTTGGTTGCTGGGGTTCAGGTTTTGGTTGTTGGGGTTCAGGTTTTGGTTGTTGGGGTTCAGGTTTTGGTTGCTGGGGTTCAGGTTTTGGTTGTTGGGGGTCAGGTTATGGTTGTTAGGGTTCAGGTTTTGGTTGTTGGGGTTCAGATTTTGGGGGTTCGGCTTTTTGGTCTATAAGCGGCCTGAACTCATCATCTTGTTGGTATTTAATAATAAGATAAATGTTGGGAATTGAAGGATGTCCTTCCGATAAATAAACGTCTCTCTGTCTTTAGGACTGACGCGTTCTGCCCATACATGGTGACCACACAGAGTGTTTGTCTGGTGTGAGCGTGGCGGGGATTGTAGATCCTTTGGGGCCTCTCTGATTGGTTCTCTGGGATCTGTACCGTGCTGAGTGATATGTGGGAAGTAAGTCGTCGTGTCTGCGGCCGGTTTCCACCATTTTCTGGGAGCGCTGGGTCTGTAGACAGATCACCGGCAATTTTCCTGACCGCAGAAGACGAATGATGGGGGATGGTGAATGCCGAGTCTAGGTCTAGTCAGATACGTGAGGTGTATACAGGAGCCCAGAGCCGGGGGTCTTCCTGTACCCCGACATATTACTATAACATACGGCTTCCACCTTTCTGCAGCCGGTACAATCCATCGAGTGTCACCATACACCTCCATCATTCCATGGAACGCATTCATTGGCTTCCTCTTCACGGTGCAATCCTATCCTGACTCCTGCTTGCGTCTCAGTCTCTTCTCAGGAACCAAGGACCTCTTCCCAGAATTTCCCTTCCACAATGGCGCCTCGGCCGTGTCCATCGAGCTGGAGAGACCCGTGTCCCGACACTGCCATGGCACATGCTTACCATCAGACTGCCAGCAGAAGCACCAGGCTCGGCGGAAGCTGTACTTTGCCTGCGTTGTGTGCTTTATCTTTATGATCGGGGAGGTGGCAGGTAACTTGTTGTAGAGCTGTAGATATGTGTGTCCGTAGGCCAGTGTACATCCCATGGTCCTTCTGTGTCCTTCCAGGGGGTTACATTGCCCACAGCTTGGCCATCATGACAGATGCCGCCCATCTCCTCACTGACCTGGGCAGTATGTGCGTCAGTATCTTCTCCTTGTGGATCTCAACGCGACCTCCAACCAAACATATGACCTTCGGTTGGCACCGGTCTGGTAAGTGGAACGTTCTAATATTTGTATCAGTCAGAAAGGTCTGTGTGTGTGTGTGGGGGGATGGGGGGGGGAGGGGCTCGGACCGGCCTATTAACAACGTTTCACATCGCTTCATTTCGATGGAGACAATGATGTCATCTTACAGTATGAAGCCAATTGTCCCGATCCGGGATCAGGCTCAGAGTCCAGCAGGCAATTGGTGGTATAACGGGCCGGGTTCAGTACACAAGCAGACAGTAGTGGTGGAGGAGCCGGCAGAAGCGTAGTCAGAGATCAAGCCGAGGTCAGGAGCCGAAGGTATCAGGTATGAAGCAGAAGATGATGAGAGTAGTCGGTGAATCAGCAGCCAAAGGTCGGTACACGGGGAGCAGTATGAGCGGATTGTAGCACAGAGGGAGCAGGAAGCAAGATAATAGCAGGAACACAATAATCTGGCAAACAGGAAGTGCAGAGGCGTGGCTTAAATAGAAAGTTCAAGGGAGGAGCAAGGAGTTCAGAGTTCAGCAGAAACTAGGGTTACCTGAGGAGAACACAGGAGGTCAGGCGAGGAGCTATCCAAGGTTCTAAGGAGGCTCAGCAGGTAGAACCACCGCCAGCTACAGCAGAGGTACTGGGTTCAGATCCGGTTCCTGACACTAATAGAACCTCCGGTATTGTGAATGACCTCAACTAGAGGCTCTCTGCAGCTGCCCCTCATTGGCTAGGAGGGGCTTTGGTTATTTTTGTATTAAAAATGGAGCATTTCACATGTTTTAGGGAGGGATCGGGGAATGGCCTGACTCAGATCACACCACAGCATTTCAATGTGATAAGGGTCAGGACTGAATGCTGGACCAATGCCATGTTACATGACCCAAATTCTTCAGACAGACGCCCATCTGTAGACATTTCCTCACACAACTCGGAATTTACTGGCCCTTCAGTGACTGCACATCATTCATGTCCTAAGGCAGCAACTCAGCCCCCCCCCCCTTGATTATACTTCATCCAACATGCTTCACAGTTGAGACAAGACTTACCAAAATCTTCAGCTTGTGTCTCACCTGTCCACAGGTCTTTGTTCCAGTCACTTGGGAAGTCTACAGAAAGCAGGAGAAGGAACGCATGTTTCGAGCAGCGGTTGTCTCCTCTAGTGCAGCGGTTCTCAACCTGTGTAACCTCGGAACGCACATTTGCCCTCGGTCATTAAGTCCCGACCCAAGTGGCACTGCAATGGAACGCACAGCATTGCGGTACCGCGCGTTCCGATGTGGGCAATAGAACTGTGGGTGGGAGATGCATTTGGGGTGCCATTCATATGAATGGCAATGCACCTCCCACACCAGAACGTGCAGTAGGTGCGATTGCATTAATTTTGTTTAAGTCCCCCCAGTCTTCCTGCGTTATGAGAGCTGGAGTGTGTCCTCATCCCGGGGGTCAGTGTGGGCTGCTGTGCTGTGATGGAGCTCCATCCATACGTGCAGTGCTGGTACAGCTCCCTCACGTGTCCTGTAGACGTGCCAGGAGACAGAATGTGACGCCACTCCGGTGCAGGCTCCTCTACAGGACACGTTAGGGAGCTGCAAGCAACGCATGTATGGATGGAGCTCCATCACGGCCATGCCCCCAGCCCACCTCAAGCTGAGACTCGGCACCGGGCAGCATATTTTGAATGGCTTCTTGGTGTAAGAAGGGACATCGCTGCGCAAGGGGGAGACTGAGGAGCCTCTCGGCTAGAATGAATCAGCAGCCAAAGGTCGGTACACGGGGAGCAGTATGAGCGGATTGTAGCACAGAGGGAGCAGGAAGCAAGATAATAGCAGGAACACAATAATCTGGCAAACAGGAAGTGCAGAGGCGTGGCTTAAATAGAAAGTTCAAGGGAGGAGCAAGGAGTTCAGAGTTCAGCAGAAACTAGGGTTACCTGAGGAGAACACAGGAGGTCAGGCGAGGAGCTATCCAAGGTTCTAAGGAGGCTCAGCAGGTAGAACCACCGCCAGCTACAGCAGAGGTACTGGGTTCAGATCCGGTTCCTGACACTAATAGAACCTCCGGTATTGTGAATGACCTCAACTAGAGGCTCTCTGCAGCTGCCCCTCATTGGCTAGGAGGGGCTTTGGTTATTTTTGTATTAAAAATGGAGCATTTCACATGTTTTAGGGAGGGATCGGGGAATGGCCTGACTCAGATCACACCACAGCATTTCAATGTGATAAGGGTCAGGACTGAATGCTGGACCAATGCCATGTTACATGACCCAAATTCTTCAGACAGACGCCCATCTGTAGACATTTCCTCACACAACTCGGAATTTACTGGCCCTTCAGTGACTGCACATCATTCATGTCCTAAGGCAGCAACTCAGCCCCCCCCCCCTTGATTATACTTCATCCAACATGCTTCACAGTTGAGACAAGACTTACCAAAATCTTCAGCTTGTGTCTCACCTGTCCACAGGTCTTTGTTCCAGTCACTTGGGAAGTCTACAGAAAGCAGGAGAAGGAACGCATGTTTCGAGCAGCGGTTGTCTCCTCTAGTGCAGCGGTTCTCAACCTGTGTAACCTCGGAACGCACATTTGCCCTCGGTCATTAAGTCCCGACCCAAGTGGCACTGCAATGGAACGCACAGCATTGCGGTACCGCGCGTTCCGATGTGGGCAATAGAACTGTGGGTGGGAGATGCATTTGGGGTGCCATTCATATGAATGGCAATGCACCTCCCACACCAGAACGTGCAGTAGGTGCGATTGCATTAATTTTGTTTAAGTCCCCCCAGTCTTCCTGCGTTATGAGAGCTGGAGTGTGTCCTCATCCCGGGGGTCAGTGTGGGCTGCTGTGCTGTGATGGAGCTCCATCCATACGTGCAGTGCTGGTACAGCTCCCTCACGTGTCCTGTAGACGTGCCAGGAGACAGAATGTGACGCCACTCCGGTGCAGGCTCCTCTACAGGACACGTTAGGGAGCTGCAAGCAACGCATGTATGGATGGAGCTCCATCACGGCCATGCCCCCAGCCCACCTCAAGCTGAGACTCGGCACCGGGCAGCATATTTTGAATGGCTTCTTGGTGTAAGAAGGGACATCGCTGCGCAAGGGGGAGACTGAGGAGCCTCTCGGCTAGAAAAGTGGAAGGCACATGGTGACCCGCTGAACACGGGGTCGCGACCCACCAGTTGAGAACCAAGGCTCTGGTGGACACCATTACTGTTCTGCGTTCTGTTATATTCTAGACATTAAAGGAGAACTATGGGGTTAAGTATTTCCCCCATAGTTCTCCTTAGGGTAACAGGAGGACACAAACCAGCGTCCTCCCGTCACCCTAGGCTCAGTATACCGCGAGCTACTGAGACTCCGCAGCTGAAGCGGATCCCGACAATTGTGCTGGGATCCGCCCAGCTGCGTGAGTGACAGCTGGCTCCTCCTATCTAGAGGCAGAGCCAGCTGTACCCGCCCCCTCCCCCGTCCGATCCGCCAGTCAGTGGTGGCAGATCGGAGCGGGGAGGTGGGAATCCAGCCCCTCCCCCTGTCACGGCAGAGAGCTGTGACTGGATGGAGAGGCGAGCGAACGCCAGTATGTGTTCCCTCACCTCCCGATCTACTGAGCCGACCTGTGACAGTCTCATTGTCACACGTCACCCCGAACTATGAGGGGAGTGACAAGCCCCTCCCCCCATAGTTCTCCTTTAATAACCTCGGTCCGTTGTGACCTGTTGGATGATTGTGGCCTTCCCCTGATACTTGTAGGCCGGCTCTCCTAAGCTGAGTAGGACCAGCTCTGTAAAGTGTCTCGTGGTTTGGTGGGGATCCTGGGTCTTCAGTAACCCTTTCCAATCTTATGAGCACCGTGGCGTCATATTGCCCTTCCACACAATCCCGCCATTAATGAAATTGGGATGTTCTTGTTTTATTCACCACGACAAGTCCGACCCAAGCTCGACTCAAATGAAGCACGGCTCATGTTTATTGGAAGAGCTTCCATCAGACGCCGTCTGCCATGAACTCATTATCCTGCCGCGTCAGACACATTTTCCATTAATGCCGTTCATTGTTTAAAACATTCGTCCAATAAAGAGGCGGCAATGTGGACTGTCGGGGTTTCCCATTGAGGATTGTCTATATATATCACGACTTAGATGAAGATCGGAGCAGATGTTGGGAACTGTTTGTGCCCTAAAAATGCTCAACATCCTCCAATGTTCCTCCACTCTGTGGAATGATATCTGGGCAGCGGTATATTTGGTCTGCCATAGAATGGGAGGTGTGAGATACATGGAGGATGGGTGCTGTGCTATGTGTTTGGTAACGGTGATCTCTCCATTGATGTAGAGATTCTGGGGGCTCTGGCGTCGGTCTTCTCTATCTGGATTGTGACGGGGGTGTTGGTGTACCTGGCTGCCGCTCGGATCATCAACAACGACTATGATATTGATGGACACGTCATGCTGATCACGTCCGGCTGTGCCGTGGTCGTCAACATCATGTAAGTGAGGAAATGTTTAAACTTGATGTGAATCCAACGACTCGATCTCATAGAAACTTTCATCAGAACTTCAAAAGTCATTTTTAATATTTGAATTTGGTCACTCTGTCTATTGTCTATGATACACAGCGCGCAGAGCAAACTCAATATCATCCCATTAGGGTTTACAGTAGCGATGCACCGATACCAGTGCCGATACCCATGCCGATACCAGTCCCGATACTTGGCCTTTTCTGGAGAACTCCCAGGGTTGCAGCGGTTGCAGCGGGGACCGGGCTCTGGCGCTCCACCACTGTCCTGAAATCATTAGTCTGTATTGTTTTTAGAACAACTGTCACATGACAATAAACACAAATGTATCAGAACTTGTACTCGCCAAACTGGTATCGGTGCATCACTTATATATTTATAAAAACAAAATGATACATTATAACAGAGATGTAGAAATCCCAGGAGCTCCGTGTGCTCCTTACACATGACAGCGGCCTCCTAACTTTTGACTTTTCCTCTAGTCTAGTCTTGGAGCTGGAAAAGTATCGGTGCTTGGTATCGGTGCTTGGTATCGGCGCATCCCTAGTTTACAGGTGCTGTAATGTGCTCTGGGCATATGGTCTCCTAGACCGTTTAAGTGGTCTGGAATGTCCAGTTCTGGCACCACTGGCCCCCCAGTTAGGAAGGGTTAAAGACAGTTTGTGAAAAGCCGGAGCTTAGTCCCCAATAATGGCTGTGGTTCTCCCTTTTCCCCAGCATGGCCTACATCCTTCACCAGTCCGCCTCCTTCCACGGACACAGCCATGGTTCAGGCTATGAGAAGATTGGAGACAGCCCCAGCGGTGGCCTGCCCCTGCACCTGGGACCTCATGGCAATACAAGCGTCAGGGCCGCCTTCATCCACGTGCTCGGAGACCTCCTGCAGAGTATTGGGGTGATGGTGGCCGCCATTATTATCTACTTCAAGGTGAGCGAAGGGTCACTATGAGGACTTCATTTGTATTATGCTTGACTTGGGATTTTTTACAAGGGACTCACCAAAGTGCTTATTGAGGTCATTTGAGAAGCTGCGAGGGGGCCACACGGGACAACTATAAGGATGAATTTCCTGAGACCTGGCAGTAACCAAAGGGAGCATCTAGTAAAATGCCTTCTGGAAGTGAGTCCGTTCTTCCTCTTATACCGTATAATTGTTTTATAGAAATGTCAAATCTCTTTTATGCGTGAAATAAGATCCATCCGCAGAGGTGAGAGAGGAGAATGAAATTACCTGACAGGCTGATGGGGAGAGGGGTAAGCATAGGAACGGGGACTGATATCTGCAGAATGTTCTAGTCTGTGCTGTGGTCTGCTGGGCGGCAGTGCCAGGACAAAGTCTTCTGGACCTCTATGTTGGGATTCAAAAGTGACCCCCCCCCCCCAACTCTTTAATTCAGTGAGGGAATAATAAAGGAGTCAATTAAATACAAAGGGTTACCTTCCAATTTTACTGCAAAGTTTATTCTGCATTGTGTCACTGGAATCCTATTCCTGATACAAAGCATCTTTTATTATTTAATGCAACAAACACGATCCAAGCTAAATTTACAAATCATTAAGAAACAATCTACAATTTTACATTTCATTCATTAATGAACACAGAGGGGGAGCTGAGCAGACAAACTGATAGATCCCGAATGTAGATTACAAAGGGAGAACATGGATCTCCCTGTGAAATCATCGGAGCTCCGTGACAGCCGGGCTCTGTGCTCTGTATATTCAGAGAGAGATAGAGAGATACAAAGTAACATTGTATATAAACATTGATCAGAGGGGAGATAGAGAGATACAAAGTAACATTGTATATAAACATTGATCAGAGGGGAGATAGAGAGATACAAAGTAACATTGTATATAAACATTGATCAGAGGGGAGATAGAGAGATACAAAGTAACATTGTATATAAACATTGATCAGAGGGGAGATAGAGAGATACAAAGTAACATTGTATATAAACATTGATCAGAGGGGAGATAGAGAGATACAAAGTAACATTGTATATAAACATTGATCAGAGGGGAGATAGAGAGATACAAAGTAACATTGTATATAAACATTGATCAGAGGGGAGATAGAGAGATACAAAGTAACATTGTATATAAACATTGATCAGAGGGGAGATAGAGAGATACAAAGTAACATTGTATATAAACATTGATCAGAGGGGAGATAGAGAGATACAAAGTAACATTGTATATAAACATTGATCAGAGGGGAGATAGAGAGATACAAAGTAACATTGTATATAAACATTGATCAGAGGGGAGATAGAGAGATACAAAGTAACATTGTATATAAACATTGATCAGAGGGGAGATAGAGAGATACAAAGTAACATTGTATATAAACATTGATCAGAGGGGAGATAGAGAGATACAAAGTAACATTGTATATAAACATTGATCAGAGGGGAGATAGAGAGATACAAAGTAACATTGTATATAAACATTGATCAGAGGGGAGATAGAGAGATACAAAGTAACATTGTATATAAACATTGATCAGAGGGGAGATAGAGAGATACAAAGTAACATTGTATATAAACATTGATCAGAGGGGAGATAGAGAGATACAAAGTAACATTGTATATAAACATTGATCAGAGGGGAGATAGAGAGATACAAAGTAACATTGTATATAAACATTGATCAGAGGGGAGATAGAGAGATACAAAGTAACATTGTATATAAACATTGATCAGAGGGGAGATAGAGAGATACAAAGTAACATTGTATATAAACATTGATCAGAGGGGAGATAGAGAGATACAAAGTAACATTGTATATAAACATTGATCAGAGGGGAGATAGAGAGATACAAAGTAACATTGTATATAAACATTGATCAGAGGGGAGATAGAGAGATACAAAGTAACATTGTATATAAACATTGATCAGAGGGGAGATAGAGAGATACAAAGTAACATTGTATATAAACATTGATCAGAGGGGAGATAGAGAGATACAAAGTAACATTGTATATAAACATTGATCAGAGGGGAGATAGAGAGATACAAAGTAACATTGTATATAAACATTGATCAGAGGGGAGATAGAGAGATACAAAGTAACATTGTATATAAACATTGATCAGAGGGGAGATAGAGAGATACAAAGTAACATTGTATATAAACATTGATCAGAGGGGAGATAGAGAGATACAAAGTAACATTGTATATAAACATTGATCAGAGGGGAGATAGAGAGATACAAAGTAACATTGTATATAAACATTGATCAGAGGGGAGATAGAGAGATACAAAGTAACATTGTATATAAACATTGATCAGAGGGGAGATAGAGAGATACAAAGTAACATTGTATATAAACATTGATCAGAGGGGAGATAGAGAGATACAAAGTAACATTGTATATAAACATTGATCAGAGGGGAGATAGAGAGATACAAAGTAACATTGTATATAAACATTGATCAGAGGGGAGATAGAGAGATACAAAGTAACATTGTATATAAACATTGATCAGAGGGGAGATAGAGAGATACAAAGTAACATTGTATATAAACATTGATCAGAGGGGAGATAGAGAGATACAAAGTAACATTGTATATAAACATTGATCAGAGGGGAGATAGAGAGATACAAAGTAACATTGTATATAAACATTGATCAGAGGGGAGATAGAGAGATACAAAGTAACATTGTATATAAACATTGATCAGAGGGGAGATAGAGAGATACAAAGTAACATTGTATATAAACATTGATCAGAGGGGAGATAGAGAGATACAAAGTAACATTGTATATAAACATTGATCAGAGGGGAGATAGAGAGATACAAAGTAACATTGTATATAAACATTGATCAGAGGGGAGATAGAGAGATACAAAGTAACATTGTATATAAACATTGATCAGAGGGGAGATAGAGAGATACAAAGTAACATTGTATATAAACATTGATCAGAGGGGAGATAGAGAGATACAAAGTAACATTGTATATAAACATTGATCAGAGGGGAGATAGAGAGATACAAAGTAACATTGTATATAAACATTGATCAGAGGGGAGATAGAGAGATACAAAGTAACATTGTATATAAACATTGATCAGAGGGGAGATAGAGAGATACAAAGTAACATTGTATATAAACATTGATCAGAGGGGAGATAGAGAGATACAAAGTAACATTGTATATAAACATTGATCAGAGGGGAGATAGAGAGATACAAAGTAACATTGTATATAAACATTGATCAGAGGGAGATAGAGAGATACAAAGTAACATTTTTATTCATCTTCTGATCATTGGAATGAACCTCAATTGGTATATAATATTAGTGTTCTTATTTAACCCTTAATTTACCATTATTACCCTTTATTAACTCCTTTTTTCCCCTTCTCCCTTTATTTTTTCCTGCTACTTGTCATTTTTTGTTTTTATTCTTCTATCCATAAATGTTGAAACTTTTTTATTTTTCATTGATTTTGCTCGGTTAGTTTTCATTATTTGATTAAAAAAATATTTTTTTCATTTGTAAACACCTTTGCAATGCTTTGTTCCGGAATCCGCATTTTAGAGTCATTTTAAGCAGGAAAACTTTTATAATTAAAATAAAATATAATTTTTTTTATCTACGGAAACAATCTCATAAAAAATAATATCATTTTTGTGAGACATTATCACCTGAAGAAATCCTTGTTTGTCGAAAAATAACAAAAGGTTTTAAGCAGGACCGTAGTAGAAAAGGAAACACTGGTCTGGTCTATAGGGGAGGTGTATGGGGGGCGGAGCTGAAATGGTTAAATACCTCAGTCATGTGACCAGTCCACAAGTATCTGCACGCGATCCAATTTTCAGGGGGGCATTTTGGTATAGAAGCTTTTTACACGGTTACCTGCAGAAGAATCGTGTGGCAATCATTTTTATTTCAGAATTCTGTAGCGAGGTGGAAGGTGACCAGCAGAGACAAGTGCTGGGTAACGTGGCCCCATACTTTTCTGGGGCCCCACTTGTAGCACACAGCTTGCAGTGATTATGGAATTATCATGGCTGTGGACTAATGCTGCTAGCAGTCCATGTGCCTAGTAGACAGAAGGTGGGCTCTCCATGAATCCAGGGTGGGACCTGGCGGATGGGTCCCCAGCCTCATATTTACCATCGCAGTCCCTGAATAATATGGAGCATTGTGTCTTCTGTCTTCCAGCCGCAGTACAAGATTGCTGACCCCGTGTGCACCTTCCTCTTCTCCATCTTCGTACTGGCCACCACCACCACAATCTTACGGGATGTCTTCTGGGTGCTGATGGAAGGTAACATCATTATGGGGGGCGAATATGAAAAGGGGAAATGTAAGGAGAGGAAATGGAGGATGAACATGATGCCCGAACCCTTGAGCATTTAGTAAGAGGAGCTCTTGGCTGGTAGGAGCATGGCCGGTGGCAGGAAGTAAGTAGCAGGAGCAATTGGGACAGGAAGTTGCAAGCTGCTGGCCCACAGAAAAAGGGGTTCAGTCTGTAAAAGGGGTTAATCTAGCAGGGACGCCTGTGTGGGGGTCACTGTCACCTGAAGACAACGCTGCCGATAGACCTCCTTCTGCCTCAGCAGATCTTCCCTCACATATAACATTGTGGCAGCTTTATCGGTTGCCATGGAATAATGGTCCCTGACGGATCTTCTCATTGGGTTTCGTTTAGTTGGGGTGTCTGTCCTGAACTTGAGGTTGGCCATGGTAAGTTGGGTGACCTCCATGCATCGGTGGTTGGCACTAGTCAGCTGAACATTATCAGTCTGTTGGATGAAGTCTCCCGTGTGTGTCAGGAAATTTCCTTCCCAACAAGGAGGGGGGGTCCAATGGCAGCAAAATATGTCCCGCATGGTGGAAGGACAGCTCTGCTCCTCAACAGTCCAGATTGTCCTAGACTCCTCATACGGTGTAATGTACAAAGGGTTAATGTCACAGCAGTCCATGAAGACAGAGGAACCTCCTGAGACACATTTATTGTGCCAGATAATGAACTCCGGTCTGCGGAGACGTCAATCAGGCCCCCCCCCTCCCCCCCCCCCACAGCCTATTTCAGGGATCGGCGCCCATGACCTCAGTCCTCCAGGCGCCCGGATATTTGGGTCCTTGGCTGCCATACCTCCTCCCCTCCCCCCCCATAGGAAGCAGGTGTGACATTCTCCTAACCAATTATAACCGATAATGAAACTTGTAACATAATAAACGAGGAAAAGAACTTTATGAAGGAAGGAGATGACGGCGCGATGTATACATGACGTACGCGGTATGACAATGTATCTAAATGGAGTTCTCTCCCCTCAGTGATCGCATCATAATCATCTTCATAGTAGCGGGAAGTTCCTCCATGGACCATTCATTAATCATTAAGAGTCTGACCGAGGGGGGAGGGGCTTGGGGTGGGGGGGGAGCAGAAATGAAGAGAGTGCCGTTCTGATGATGGACATACAGAAGGGATTCAACAATATCTAAACCCAAGCAGAGAAGTGACATATAGTATATTGCAGCTTCCCAATCCTTAGATGTGGCGCCCGCATTGGGTTTCTTTTTTTTTCAGGCTCAGAACATTTTCAGCAAGTGCAGGAAATACTGGTTGATCCTGCCAGAAATCCAATGTCCCGTGTTACCTCACACAATCATATCTTCCCCCATGTAATGCAGATCCGGAGAGCATCCTGGGGTGACAACACTGCTCCTCCATAGATACAGCGCAGTGAGAGAGCGTTGTCACCGCAGGACAGGAAGCGTGTCACTGGCAGGATCACCAGGTGACAATAATGAAGAAAAGGAAACGAATGCGACCCCCCGAAGCATTGCATATAACTCGGTGAAGGAAGTTCTGCTGACAGTCCAGGGGGTCCGCTCCGTGCACTGCCTGCGACTCTGGGCGCTCACCCTCAGCCAGAACGTGGTGTCTGTACATCTGGCTATCGGTAAGTCTGAGGTCCACGTTACCCCTCCGGTACCACACAATACCGTATGATACGGTACTACACAAGCTGAGGGCTATGGGCATAGATG